CCTTGGGAAGCGCTGTGTCTTCTCAGCTGTGGCACACGATTTCTCATGCAACTTGAACACTCTAACTGGAAGAGGAAAAGATAGTGAAAGATCCCTGTCGTGGTATTAGAAGTCACCCAAGTAACGCAACTGAGAAAAAATAACTTTATAAGAATCATAAGCAACAATTTAGGCAATTAATTGTTAATCCCACTGGGTAAGAATAAGACCACTACCACAATTCTTTAGCCAAATCTAAAGCAAGCCTTATTAAATACTAGCAGGCCAATGGACACCGGCCAGGTCCATGCCCAGGGTTCCCAGAAAATTGCCATGAATCATTAATCTGGACCTTATAAAGGCAAAACCCACAACACAGCATCACCTTCGTCTAATCAGGGAGAAGCATACCTTGAGGTACTTCCTGGCAACGTACCTCACGCCTACCTGTGATCAAACACATCCAGTTTAGTTTGCAAAAGTAAACACAAGGGGTTATTATCTTACACAAACAAGCATTCCAGGAGGTTATCTCTTCTTGGGCAAGTGAGGTTTCCCAGTTGCAGGCATTTTTGTTTTTTAGATCACTTATGCACAGAAATTAAAACTTAAAAAAAAACTTTGGCCCTCACATAATAACAGAAAAAGATAATCTATTTCATTTTACTAAGAGAGAGTCTCATTTAGCCCAGGCTGGCCACAAACTTCCTTTGTGGCTTTTGCACTAAACGTTTAGCTTCTCCGTTGCATTTGACTCTCTCCATCATCATCCTTCTAAGACAGGATCCACTTGTCTTCTGTGATGCATCTGGCTGCTTTTGCATAGCCCAAGTATTCCCTTCACCTTGGTCTCTGTAATTTTATCTATACCTGTCAATAGATAAAATTGCTGTTTCTCCAGGTATATGTGTTTTTATTTTTTTAAAAAAGAAGATTGCACATTCATCCAAGACATCTAGGAATCTGACACTTTCAACCAAACATTCAATTATATATTGTATATTTTTATTTATTGTGATATCTTAAATTTCAGAGGCATTTGAGATTCAAAAGCTCAGCTAAGTCAGTGTGTGCATTTCACACAATAAGCTGCTAACGGTGAGCAAAGTATTGTATGCTAACATACAATAGATTTTCCATGTTCATAAAATCTACAAATTCTGTGGTATTGAGGTTATAGAAAGTTTAGAGTGCCAAGCATGTGTTTCATGTGCACTTTAATTAAATTTAAATTAAAATATTTGGAGGCAAGGGTAAAAGAAGTTATATGTGCGTGTATTCATATGTGTATAGGTGGGTATGTATGCATGTGCTTTTGTTCATTTAAAGCTTTTTTGGTGTTGGGTGTCAAAAGTGAATAAGGATCCAACATTGCTTTTCCACGGAGCCTAACCCCGTCTCGTGAATTATTGAACGATGGCTGGGTTTTGTCACACAGTGGTGAAGTACCTGTGAGCATGTTGTTTTCTTTTCTTTTGAATACTAGCATGATCAACTATACTCGTGACTTCTCGGTAGTAAGCCAACCTTGTATTTCTACAGCAAAATTTACCCTTCTATATGTCATTGTGTGTTTTAGTCAATCTTTGTATAGGATTTTTCCATTGATGCCCATTAGGAAGCACTGCACTATCAGTATGTTTTGTAGTACATGTTTTCATCGGTTTTGGCACCTTCACTTCATAAAAAGAACTGCAGAATTTTCCATCTTTTTGTGTTCTAGAAAAAAATGTCACTGCAGTGAACCATTGTTTACTATTTATTTATATGAAATTTCTTTGCAAGAGAAGGAGGGCTTGTTCATCATCTGGGTGTAGAGGTAAACAGGCATTGTTGAACAATGCCAATGGAGGAATTGTTCTCTGATCATATCATCTAGTTTCCCTGTACTGATGGTTTGTTTAGATCTTGTCTCTCTTCCAGAGTCTTTTTTAGCACACAGTATTTTCTTGTAGCATCCATTTCTGCTTTGTTTAAAGTTGTGCAAAATTAGCTTCTTGGTAATTTATTATTTTCTATATTTGTGATTTTCTTACTTTTAAAATATTACGCCAAGCTGGGCACAGTGGTGCACACCTGTAGTCCCAGCACTCTGGGAGGCAGAGGCAGGCGGATCTCTGTGAGTTTGAGGCCTGCTTGGTCTACAAAGGGTGTCCAGGATAGCCAAGGCTACAGAGGGAGACACTGTTTCAAAAAGAAAAAAAAAAAAAAGTCAAGTGGGAAAGTTTGTTCTCTTTATTTCTTGTCTATTTGGAGACCATGTTCACTTTTTCTTTTTGTTTTTAATGTATCTTACATTAATTTTAAGTACAGAATAGAAACAATTTCTCCTTGCCCTCAAAAGACAGTGTGTGATTTATTAAAAATTATGAGACTCTTCACACCTAAAATAGCATAAAAGTGAACAATTAAATTAAAACCCGAGGAAATATTAGCCCCAAGTAACACTGTGAAAATTTTATCCTCAATAAACAGAGTTCTTAGAACTCTGCAAAAGGAAGGAAAGAAAGAAGGGAGAGAAAAAGAAAGAGAAAGAGAAAGAGAAAGAAAGAAAGAAAGAAAGAAAGAAAGAAAGAAAGAAAGAAAGAAAGAAAGAAAGAAAGAAAGAAAGAAAGAAAGAAA